ACCCCCGCACAGCCCTCACGCCCTTCTTGACCCCCGTCCGCGTTCTCGCTCCGCTCATCCCGCACCTTCCACCCGCGGCTTGATCACGCAATCCCCCCAAAACCCCCGAGATGCCCCCAAAATGACGCTCCCATCGTGCCCTTCGAGGTTGGGTATGTCAAATTAATTTGCATAACCCCGTCTCTTTTTAGCCAAGCAATCCTACCCCTTCTCAGACCCCGCCCCTTCGTCTTTCCGCGTCACTCTGCGATTAATTGGCTGCCCTTTTTTTAATTTGCATTCACCGCGCCCGCCAAACCTCCCCCGCGCAATGCCCTCATTATCATAGCCCCGGTCCCGGGCGCTCTGTGACACTGCCAATCAGGGGGGAGCGTTAATTAGGAAGCGCCGTAATGAACGGGGCAGCTCCGCTCACGGCTCGCTGAGGGAGGGGCGGCGGAAAGAACCGAGCACGGCCGGAAAAACCCGAGCGCGGCAGGGCGGGAAGAGCCGAGTACGACTCTGATTGAGCGAGAGCTCCGAAGGGGCGGGGACTCCCTAACCCTGAATTTACGATTGGCTGAAATCCTCTGAGGGGGCGTGTCCTAACGAGGCGCTCCCCGCGCCACCGGAAGCGGCCGCTCAGTCGTTGCGATGGCGGCGCCGGGCGCGGATCTCCCGTGCGGCCTCTGCGGCGCCGCCGCCGCCCCTTACACGTGCCCGCGGTGCCACCGCCGCCTGTGCTGCCTGCGCTGCTACCGCGCCCACGGCCCCTGCGCCGAGGCCTTTTACCGCGAGCAGGTGCTGCGGGCGCTGCGCGGCCGCCGCGCCGCTGCCCCGGGGGAGCTGCCGGCGCTGCGGGACCCCCCGGAGGAGCCCCCGGAGGACCCCCCGGAGGCGGCGCGGCCCGCGGGGCTGTGGGAGCGGCTGAGCGAGGCGCAGCGCGCCGAGTTCCGCCGCCTGCTGAGCTCCGGCGAGGCCGCGGCGCTGCTGCTGCCGCGCTGGCGGCCTTGGTGGTGGCGGGGCCGGGCGCCGGTGGAGGAGCTCGGCGGGGATGACACTGAGGACGAGGAGACCGACAAGCCGGGCGAGCCTCGCCCCGGCCGCGCCCCTCCCGTGCCCGCCGCTGTTCCCCCGCTGTCCTCGCTGCGCTCCGGGCCCTGCTCTCCTCTGCTCCGCTTCCAGCTGCCCAACGCGCTGTTCGGCTACGCCTTCGCTCTCAGCCTGCACGGCGGGGACGAGTCGCTGGTGCCGGAGCTGCCCGCGGCCGCCCTGGCCTGCTCGGCGGCGCTGCGGGAGCCCCGCGGCCCGGCCCGGTTCTGCAGCACGGCCCAGGCCCTGCTGAGCGCCCGGCGCGACGCGCGGGCCGCGGGGCTGCCCCTGGGTCCCCTGGGGGACAGCGGAGCCCTCCTGGCCGTGGCGGAGCTCCTGGAGGGCCGCGACCCCCTGGACCCCGGAGCGGACGCGGCGGCCGCCCTGGGGCACCTCGGGGCGCTGCTGGGGAAGGGGGCGCGGGCGCTGCCGCCCCCCGAGCGGGGCCCGTTCCGGGCCGCGCGGAAAAAGGTGGAATTCCTGCTGAGCTGGAGCCGCGCGGAGCCCGCCGAGCTCGCCCGCCTGGCGCGGGAGGCCCGGGAGGTTCACGCCGAGGTGGCGGAGGAGGAGGCGGCGATGAAGGAGCTGCGGGAGGGGCTGGAGAGGGGCTGGGGGGGGACGAGGCCGCCCCGGGACGGGGATGAGGAGGAGAGGGGGGTTTGGGGACTTTTGGGGGGTCTTCGGATCTCCCCGGGGGTCGCCGGTGAGAAGGGAGAAGGAGGAGGAGG